TGCTGATACTTAATACTTCTATTATCCTGTACTTAAAAAGACACAAAGGTACACATTTAAAAATAGCATGTTTTGGTGATTTTTAAGTAACTAACAATTATTTTTGCATGTGTAGCCCTGAGGCCTGGATCTGCTAAGCCCTCATATTGTTAAAGACTTTTTACAAAGAAACACAGATAATTATAACTTACTCTTTACATTACAGCATGTCGCCTTGATATAAAATGTTATCTGTATCTGTTTTTTATACAGGTTTGTTGAAATTTTGCTAAATTTCTTATTATCTTTACACTGTAAAGCATTTTGAAACATTTCTTGAACGTTGATAGCCAAAACATATTTGGTTTTATCTGCTACAGGATGAGAGACTTTTTAAAATGGCAGATGCATGGACTGTATTTTGCATGTTTAAAATAAAAAAAAAAAAACATGCTGTTTTTGCAGTTGTCGTCCATAATTCCTCCCTGCTGAGAATGGTCCCTCCACTGAAAAAGGGGCTTATCCACCTAGAGGTGGTCTTCCTGAAGTGGGTCTGGGGCACCCAATCCAGCACCTCTCAGACTTCCCTGTGTATACAAATCACCAGAGAATCTTTAAATTTTGACTGTGATGCAATAGGTGTGCATGGGCCCAAGATCCTACAGCTCTGAGTCCCAGATGATGCCAGTCAGGCCCCATGTTTATGTCACTCCCTAGGAATGACCTCAAAGTGTCTTCAATAGACCCATAACAGTGGAAACTTGTCCACAGTAAATAGCCATGTATTTTATGAATAAATTTGGTACTTAACGGAATTTTTTCTAAGACTTATAGTCTTGTTTCTCTTTTCAAGGCAATTTCTGAACAGTGTTCATGTAAGTGACTTGGCCTCAGGTTAGGAATAGCTCTTTCACAGTCCCATAGAAACATGTGGATCATGGTTTTTAACAGACAAGGAATTAAAATACTTAGACCCTGTTCGCCAGAAATAGCTGGTGGTTGTTTCTAACCCAAAACAAGGACATGAGCTTCAATGTCTATGTGCCAGGAACATAGTAAGCAATATGTGTAATGAATAGATAACTATTCAATAGATAGATGCTTAATGAATAAATGTAATACTACTCAAATAAGTGAATGTGTGAAAAAATGAATGAATGGACTTGTTAATGTGCTTCATGATCAACATCAAATCCACTGTAGATTTTTTTAAATTTTTTTACATTTTTATTGAAGTATAGTTGATTTACAATGTTGTGGTAGTTTTAGGTGTACAGCAAAGTGTTTGAGTTATATATATACATACATATATATATATACATATATATATATACATATATATATATACATACATATATATATATATATATATATATATATATATATATATATACACATATCCTTTTTCATGTTCTTTTCCATTATGGTTTATTACAGGAAATTGAATATAGTCCCCTGTGCTGTACAGTAGGTACTTGTTGGTAACCTATTTTACTTTATTTTATTTTATTTTTTTTACGTATTTATTGGAGTATAATTGCTTTACAGTGGTGTGTTAGTTTCTAATTTATAACAAAGTGAATCAGTTATACATACACATATGTTCCCATATCTCTACCCTCTTGCGTCCCCCTCCCTCCCACCCTCCCTATCCCACCCCTCTAGGTGGTCACAAAGCACTGAGCTAATCTCCCTGTGCTATGCGGCTGCTTCCCACTAGCTATCTATTTTACGTTTGGCAGTGTATATATGTCCATGCCACTCTCTCACTTTGTCACAGCGTACCCTTCCCTCTCCCCATATCATCAATCCATTCTCTAGGCCTGTGTCTTTATTCCCACCTTACCCATAGGTTCTTCATGATATTTTTTTTCCCTTAGATTCCTTATATATGTGTTAGTATACGGTATTTGTCTTTCTCTTTCTGACTTACTTCACTCCGTATAACAGACTCTAGGTCCATCCACCTCACTACAAATTACTCAATTTCGTTTCTTTTTATGGCTGAGTAATATTCCATTGTATATATATGCCACATCTTTATCCATTCATCCGATGATGGACACTTAGGTTGCTTCCATCTCCTGGCTATTGTAAATAGAGCTGCAATGAACATTTTGGTACATGACTCTTTTTGAATTTTGGTTTTCTCAGGGTATATGCCCAGTAGTGGGATTGCTGGGTCATATGATAGTTCTATTTTTAGTTTTTTAAGGAATATCCATACTGTTCTCCATAGTGGCTGTACCGATTCACATTCCCACCAGCAGTGCAAGAGTGTTCCCTTTTCTCCACACCCTCTCCAGCATTTATTGTTTCTAGATTTTTTGATGATGGCCATTCTGACTGGTGTGAGATGATATCTCATTGTAGTTTTGATTTGCATTTCTCTAATGATTAATGATGTTGAGCATTATTTCATGTGTTTGTTGGCAGTCTGTATATCTTCTTTAGAGAAATGTCAATTTAGGTCTTCTGCCCATTTTTGGATTGGGTTGTTTCATTTTTTGTTATTGAGCTGCATGAGCTGCTTGTAGATTTTGGAGATTAATCCTTTGTCAGTTGCTTCATTTGAAAATGTCTTCTCCCATTCTGAGGGTTTTCTTTTGGTCTTGTTTATGGTTTCCTTTGCTGTACAAAAGCTGTTAAGTTTCATTAGGTCCCATTTATTTATTTTTGTTTTTATTTCCATTTCTCTAGGAGGTGGGTCAAAAAGGATCTTGCTGTGATTTATGTTATAGAGTGTTCTGCCTATGTTTTCCTCTAAGAGTTTGATAGTTTCTGGCCTTACATTTAGGTCTTTAATCCATTTTGAGCTTATTTTTGTGTATGGTGTTAGGGAGTGTTCTAATCTCATACTTTTACATGTACCTGTCCAGTTTTCCCAGCACCACTTATTGAAGAGGCTGTCCTTTCTCCACTGTATATTCCTGCCTCCATAAGGTGACCATATGTGCATGGGTTTATCTCTTGGTTTTCTATCTTATTCCATTGATCTATATTTTTGTTTTTGTGCAAGTACCATACTGTCTTGATTACTGTAGCTTTGTAGTATAGTCTGAAGTCAGGGAGCCTGATTCCTCCAGCTCCGTTTTTCGTTCTCAAGATTGCTTTGGCTATTCGCGGTATTTTGTGTTTCCATACAAATTGTGAAATTTTTTGTTCTAGTTCTGTGAAAAATGCCATTGGTAGTTTGATAGGGATTGCATTGAATCTGTAGATTGCTTTGGGTAGTAGAGTCATTTTCACAATGTTGATTCTTCCAATCTAAGAACTTGGTTATTTTATATATAATAGTGTGTATCTGTTAATCCCAACCTCCTAATTTATCCCTCCATGCCCTCCTTTCCCCAGAAGTTTGCTTTCTATGTCTGTGAGTCTATTTGTGTTTTGTAAATAAGTTCATTTGTATCATATTTTAGTTTCCACATATAAGCGATATCATATGATATTTCTCTTTGTCTGGTTTACTTTACTTAGTATGATAATCTCTAGGTCCATCCGTGTTGCTGAAAATGGCATTGTTTCATTCCTTTCTATGGCTGAGTAATATTCCATTGTGTATATATGTACCACATCTTCTTTATCCATTCATCTGTTGATGGACACTTAGGTTGCTTCCATGATTTGGCTATCACAAATAGTGCTGCAATGAAATTGGTCTGTATGTATCTTTTAATGGTTTTAATGGTTTTCTCTGGATATATGCCCAGGAGTGGGATTGTTGGATCATATGGTAATTCTATTTTTAGTTTATTGAGGAACCTCCACACTCTTCTCCATAGTGGCTGCACCAATTTCCATTCCCACCAACAGTGTAGGAGGGTTCATCTTTTCTCCACACCCTCTCCAGCATTTATTGTTTGTAGACTTTTTGATGATGGCCATTCTGACCAGAATGAGGTGATACCTCATTGTAGTTTTGATTTGCATTTCTCTAATGATTAGTGATGTTGTGCATTTTTTCATGTGCCTGTTGGCGATCTTCGTGTCTTCCTTGGAGAAATGTCTATTTAGGTCTCCTGCCAAATCCACTGTAGATTTAACAGGTGTGGATTGAGTGGCTGTGGCTGTCAATCAAAATGAGACACCATGTCATTCTCAAATATCTGTTGGGATCCACTACATTCATGCCAGGATGCCTGATGTCTGGGAGATAGGGTGCTAAGGACAGAGTCCAGGTTTTCTGTCAGAACCTTAAGGCAGCCGACTTCCATTTTCATGGACAGACTCAAGCCCAGCTCAAAAGAATAATAAAAATAATAACTATCATTGTACCAGCCACTGTTCTAAGTGCTTGTCACAGGCTACCTCATTTAATTCTCCCAACAGCCCCAGAAAGTAGGTAGTATTATGTCTCATTTTGCAGATAAGGAACTTAAACACACAGAGTTTGGGTGACTAACCCAAGGTCATACAGCTATCAAAAGACATAGCCAGGATTTGAACCTCTAGCTCTTGAGCACAAACTCATTTTATAATTCCCATTTCAGCTACCCTCCTGGCACCTTACCCATCTACTTGCCATATTCAGCAGCAGATTATTAAGATATTTGAGGGAATGAGCCTTAAAATATGGCCTTTGCCTCCGTTTCAGAAATCTCTGTCTCATCTGGTGATCTCATCTTCTTTTCGTGGGCTTTTGGCATCTCGTGATGTATAACGTCCCGCTGGGAGCAGTGGAAGAGTCTCGAGACACACCCAGGTCTTCCCAGCTTCTTGCTACCAAGGAGACCATGTAGATGAGACATTTCAAACACAGATGCTTCCAGGAGCCGAGAC